GAGAAGCCACTAGTGCTGTTAAGAGGATAGTAACGATTATTAACCTCGGCAAACAGGCTTCACACAAAGAAATATGCAATTACAATGCACAAAGAGTTTTTAAAGATTTTTTTTATTGAGGGAGAGAGAGAGAGAGAGAGAGAGAAACATCGATGTGAGAGCAACATCAATCAGCTGCTTCAGCTTGCCTCCTATGGGCCAAGGATTGAACCCGTAACCCTAGCATGTGCCCTGACTGGGAAAAGACAACCCTTCAGTGCACAGAATGATGCCCAACCAACTGAACCACACCAGCTAGGACCAAAAGTTATTTTGGAAAGCAGTTAAGAAGCTCATCAGATGGCCCCCAATCATTCATTACAGAAACTAATGTAAATAAAAAGACGATGTCCTTATCTTCACACAAAGCTTCTAGCCTAGTGGCTACCAAAAAATATCTGATAATTCTGTCCCCAAAGCCCTTCTCAATGTCAATTTTCATTAAATTTCCCTTAACATCCAAACTTATTGCAGTTAAAAATAAGTAAATAAAGAGACAAGAGTTGCCGAAACCGGTTTGGCTCAGCGGTAGAGCATGGGTCTGCGGACTGAAAGATCCCAGGTTCGATTCCGGTCAAGGGCATGTACATTGGTTGCGGGCACATCCCCAGTAGGGTGTGTGCAGGAGGCAGCTGGTCGATGTTTCTCTCTCGTGGATGTTTCTAGCTCTCTATCTCTCTCCCTTCCTCTCTGTAAAAAATCAATAAAATATATTTAAAAAAAAAAAAGGTAAGAGTTACAATACACTATGATAATGTATTATATTAAATGCATTTTATGCGGTTGATTATATTCTTATTTGGCATAAATTTTAGAAAGCTTTACATAGTACACATGTAATTATAATTACATTGCTTGTGGTATTATCCACACAAATTAGACATCAGATGTTCAGATAAACCTAAAACCCCAAGTTGTATTTTTTAATGGGGGGAGGGGGAGGAAATCAGATTTTATATAGCAATTTAAATCTTTTTTAAGCTTGCATGTATTGCAAAATGAATGTCAACACCAGTAAGTATTGCATAATATATATTTTTGAATAATATACTGATTAACCACATAAAATAACTTTGGCTAAAGTGTAGAAGTGACTCTAAAGATTGAAAATCCACAAGAATATGATGTGCCACTGTCAGGTGAACCAAAAGAAACTTTAAATCTATAATCTCTAAAACAAGCTAATGAGTTAGCTCTACCTGTTTAACCACTTTCTTAACACACACCCAAATAATATGACAGTAAATCTCACTGGTGAAGCTTTCTTCTAGGTTACTTATTAAAAGTTCATAGCAAAGAGAGTGTAAGACTCAAAAGGGAGACCCAGAGCATTTAAGATCTTACTCCCTGGCTCTGTCGTCAGTTTGGCTCAAATAAACTCTTTAAAAAAATTACAAACTGTTTTGCCAAATTAAATATATGCTAACAGATTTTATAATGTTGGTCACAAATATGAGAACCCACTGCATTATCAACTTCATAAGTTTGTGTTTATAAAACTGCATTTTAAAAATAATGTACAATATACTAAAGAATGCAGTTTCTATTTCCTCTAATCTATCCAAACATAATCATTTAAACACAAAATTTTTAAAACAAGTAGTGCTTTTTCCAGATCCATGAAGCTTCTCTCTTGCTTTCTTAACACCACTTAAGTTTTATCAAAAGATTTCTTTTCCTGACAAAATATTTGTCTTGATGACATCTATCTGGCTGACTCTAAGTAATCAATCTCTTTCTTCACTCTTTTCCTTTTCTAGTAATCTGTCCTAAAGGATATTTATATTAGCTGAGGGCCTATGAGCTTTCCAGTCCTTTCCTTATACCTGATTTAGCTAAACACAAAGCACCTTTCTTCTGACTCTTAGCTAAATTATTAAATTTCAGAACTAAAAGACCCTTACAGATATTAAAAAAAAAAAAAAAAAAAACCCAATTGAAGAAAAATGGTATGACCAAGATAACATTATGTTCAAGATCGATATTGCTAAGTGAAATAAGATTTGGCAAAAAGAACTTAATGCAGTAATTCAGCAATGAGACTGAAAACTTGACATCACATTAAAATAATACTTAATTTTTGAATCCTTGGTTTTAAAAATCCATTAATCATTGATATTTAAAAGTTTCCCTATTCAAATTTGATTTCTAAAAGTTATTTTTAAATTTCTTAAATTAAAGTTGAAAATTATCTATAATAATAAAAGCATAAATTAGACCGGAAGACCTTCCAGGTGACGCTGGGCTGTGAGGGAAGCCCTGGGTTCCAGGTGCCAGAAGGAAGCCAGTGCCAGTAGCAAGGGGAAGGCCTATTCTTGCACAAATTTTGTGCATCAGGCCTCTGTCTATATAATAAAAGCCTAAGCAACCATTACAGGGAAATGACCAGAATGACTGGTCGCTATGATGCACACTGACCACAAGGGAGCAGATGCTCAACGCAGGAGCAGACCCTGGTGGTCAGGGCACTCTCACAGGGGGAGCACTGCTCAGTCAGAAGCCGGGCTCACGACTGGCGAGTACAGCAGCAGTGGGAGCCTCTCCTGCCTCCGAAGCCACACTAAGGAGCAGCAAGCAGGCAGGTGATGAGGAGCGAAGGGTCCTGGATTGCGAGAGGCCACAGGCCAGGCTGAGGAAGAGCCTCACTCCCCCCCTGCACAAATTTCATGCACCACACCTCTAGTTTTACTTATAAGCATCTTAATTGTGAATTAACTCAAACTAGGTTCTTTTTTTAAAATATATTTTATTGATTTTTTTACAGAGAGGAATGGAGAGGGATAGAGAGCTGCAAACCCTCTACTGGGGTCGAGCCTTTGACTGGAATTGAACCCGGGACCCCTCAGTCCGCAGACTAACACTTTATCCACTGAGCCAAACTAGGTTCTTAGTTCGGGATTTATATTATACTCTTTGCAATTCATAGGATTTTTAGAACAATGATAAATGGAATTCAAGGAGACAAAGGCTATTTGTTATACATGTCCCAGAATGAATCTCAGGAAGTACTCAGAAGTAGCCTGCCAGAGACAACAATGGTGGAATGTTACAACTTTAAACTAAAGACCACAAGACACCTTAACATAAAGGAGTTATGGAAAAAATAAAGTTCAAGGATCCTATAATCCATATAAAACAAAAAGTTAACATATTGATTTTAGATATATACTGAAAATCTTAAAATTTTATATTACCAAAATTATTTCTAAGGATAAGATACTGACCAACGGCTACACAGAGAAATTAAAAGTAGTTGAGTTCTAGTCGGTTTGGCTAAGGAATAGAGCGTCCACCTGCAGACTGAAGGGTCCCAGGTTCAGTTCTGGTCAAGGGCATGTACCTTGGTTGCAGGCACATACTCAGTAGGGAATGTGCAGGAGGCAGCTGATCAATATTTCTCTCTCATCGATGTTTCTAACTCTTTATCCCTCTCCCTCTCCATTCCTCTTTGTAAAAAATCAATAAAATATATTTTTAAAAGTAGTTGAGAATGAATAAATCAAAGGTTTACTTTAGATATCAAAATCAATAATCAGCTCAAATAATTTGGGGCTATGATTAATACATAGCATCTGTCAAACTATCACAATGTACTACATAAATGACAAATCAAAATCATTATAAAGAAATTAGTTTGTGATGTACTTATTTCCAAATTTTTATGCTTCCTCATTTTGTAATAGCCTCTGGCTTCTCAGCAGAGGCTTCTCAGACAAACTTCTCTGAACTAAGGGAAATGTGTATATCTCAAAGTACTACATGGAGTCAGAGTTATATTAAAAGCCACAGATCTTCTGGATAACTATTACACTTTTGAACTCTACTTCCGCCTCTGCCATTCCCATGCCACCCAGAAAATGCTTCTTAGTCCTTTTAAATTTCCGCTGGCACAAATAGGGGACTCTTGAAAATCTATGAAGACCCAAATAGTGAGAGGGCATCAAGATCACCCTGGTCCTAATGCCCACAGTTTACATAAAATCAAATTTGAATATTTCCTTCTTTTCAAGGTAAATCCAGTCAATCATTTTACTCTGTTTATAATCAGTCTGGTCTATGGCAGACTGAATTACTTAAAGCAGAAAATAAAGTTAGATTTTTAAGTTCCGTGACACACTAAGCATGGAACTTGTAGGTAGGTACCAAGATGCAGACACCCACATCATGTTTACCCTCTGCACTGTCCTTGTGGGAGGGAGGTAAAAAAAGCTGTAATTATGTATTCAAGTAAGAGTTCACGTACCAGAATCTTTTAAAAGTATCTAAGTCCCGTTTATATTGTCAAAATGTTAATGAAAAACCACTTTTATCTATTCACTAAGTCACCATATCCTGGAAATATATTCTGGCCTAGTTTAAAAGCTGTAAGTCAAAATCTTTAAGATATCCATATAATTTAGAACTTTTATAAAAGCTAATTAATCATAAACTTTTCCCTATTTTGTTAGTGAGATCTTTTTGAATTTCACTGAAGATTAGATTGTATAATGTAATGGTATAAATGCAAATTAAGTTTACCAAGTCAAACAAAATACCAAAGGTTATAGAATTGTAATAGGCTAGAGAAAACAACAGCAAGGAGCCAAGGTGAAAGATTTGGTAGGAGTTCCATCAATACTCTGCCAATTGTGGGGCAAGGTAGATATGTATTAAACTGTATTTTATTCTTCAGGTCTTCACAGTATAAAGGAAGAAACATTGTAAAACTTTAACATGGTAATTTTTTTTCGGAAGCAATAAAAAACTGGTCTCACTTTTCAGGACAGAGTCAACCAAATCTTAAGGGCTACCAGTCACTCAGCGCCTGGCAACAGTAACTTTTCTTCCTTGACCCATGAAGGCAGAGTGCCAGAGGGAAATAGCAAAGAGTAGCACTATATAAACAGGGCAAGTGGCACAAGAGCAGAGGCAAGTTATATAACCGAAATATATTTTAAAATATGTTCATAACTCGTAACAACCTTTGCCTTTGGTTGGTTTCTTGTTTGCAGTATCAGTTGAAACAGTTAATTCAATATTATCTGGATCGCCTCCTTCCTCTTCAATAGCCTACATTAGAAAGAGAAGTTAATATGCTACACAATCTACCTAAACTTATTTTCTAAAAACGAAACGAAAAAAAAAAAAATCAGCAAACCTCAAGCCTCAAAACATTAGAATTGCCAGTCATTTCACAAACCGGCTGCAAAAACAGCGACTGAGAGGCACTTTCAGGGGGGAATATCATTAGGTATCAAAATCACATGGAGTTTTAAATTCCACCGAGTCGATATACTTAAATGAGTATCCTACTGAACAAAAAAGTCCAAACATTCTCAATGGCAGAAAAAAAAAAAAAGTTGCTTGCTGCGTTAGTAAATTACTAACTAAACGAGAACTTATTTCTCCTCGACTACAGTTCCAACGCTCACTCCAATAAACCAGGAAGACGATCAGGGATTGAAAAAAGCAGGTTATTGAGCTGATGCAAAACCTGAAATTCCAGCGGAAAACAAACCCTTTCTCTAACCCACCCATCAACTTCCACTATCGATTTCTCTCCCACCCCACCCCCCGCGTCCTCCGCCCCCCCAAGATGGGGAGGGAACGGTTGGGCTCCATTAAACGGTAACTTCGCCGAAGTCACCAAAGTCACCAGTCCCCTCCGAGGTCAAGAAGTGCACGCGCTCACCATCGCTCAGGGCTGGGGACCGGGCGCCTCCCGGGTCTCCACGACCGCCCTCGGGAGGCCGCGCCGGCGGCCGCAGCCCTCGCAGCCCGGCGAGGACGTCCCGGAGGAGGCGGCAGGGGCGCACCGGGCGGCGGCGGCGGCGAATCCCGGGGCGGCTCCCAGGCAGGTCGCAGGCCTTAACCGGCGCGCGAGGGCGGGGGCGCGGCGGGAGGGTCCTCATCCGCCCCGCCAGCGCGGGCGCCGCCCGGGGACGCCTCCCCAGGGCGCTGCCCCGCGAGCCCGGGCGGCTGCGGACCCGCCGGGGATGGATGGTGGCGCAAGGTGGTCTCCACAGAACGGCCTAAGCTCCCCTCTTCCGGGACCTCGCCGGGCCTCACCTGCTTGAGTCGGGAGACGAGCACCGTCTTGACTCCGGTGATGTCCAAGTTGCGCCGCTTCAGCTCGGACTTCAGATCGATGACCCGCAGATCGGTGATCTTCTTCCCTTCAGCCTGACCCGGGGCGGGCGAGGCTGCCACCGCGCCGGTAGCGGCAGCCATCTTGGGAGAGCGGCGCGCTGCTGAGGCAGCGAGTGAGCTGCAGGGCGGCGGCGGCGGCGGCGGCCGCAGCAGCCGCAGCACCAGCTCCTAACCCAGGCGGCGGGGCCGCGGGATCCGCGCGGGGCTGTGCACAATGAGCCGCCGCCGGCTCCGCCCCGCCCCGTCCGCCGCCTCGGCGCAACCTGCACCCGCAGCCGGCACCCGGATGACGGGCGCGCGTGCGCACTGGCGCGGGGCGGCGAGTCGGCGCTCGCCCGGCTCCGCCTCGCCGGCCGCGGCCACCTGGGCGGGACGTCCCTTTGCGTGAGTGGGGACGTCGGGCCGGTCCGACCGCACCTACGCCCGCCTCGCCGCGGCTCCCCCGCAGCTGCCTCAGCCATTATCTGGCAGCGGCTCCGATCTTGAGCAACAGCAGTGAGTGAGGCGCTGCGCGGCGTAGATAGTTCGCGCGTTACTTCACACAGACCCGGGGGCGTGTGCGCGCTCAGTCTCCTCCGGGGAGATAGACTGTATCAGTTCCGCTGAGTGATGGGGAAAATGTGCCCTGGCCGGTTGCTCGGTGGTCAGAGAGTCCGTCCCCCAGGGGACGAACCCAAGGGTGGCGCATTCGAGTCCTGATCTAGAGCACGTAGGATCCCAGGGCGCGTGTGGGAGGCAGCTAACCAAGCCTCCATGTGTCACTCTCACGTCTGAAGCTTTTCTCTCTCCCTCTTCCCCTCTGCCTCTTCCTCTTCCCTCTCCCCTCTCTCTCTCTGTTTCCTTTCTCGTCTCTCTTCTTTCTCTTCTCTCCCACCCGCTTCCACTCTTTCTAAAAAAAAAAAAAAAATGTGGCTTGTGTGCTCTAGTGAACTAGCTTCCCCAGTTCCAAAAGGCTGAAAAGAAACCTTAGGGTGGTTATATATAATAATAAAAGCTTAATATGCAAATAGACCTAAGGGTATGACCACTCTATGACACGCACTGGTACCAGGCCAGCCAACCAGTTAAGGCAGGTATATGAGGTTGGTCACGGCCATGGCCCAATGATGGACCTGCAGAGGGAGGCCCAGGCCACTGGCCAGCAGGGTGATCAATTAGGGGGGAGGGGGTGTGAGGGAAGGAGAGGGTTGGCAGCCTGTGGTGGGTGGGCAGGGCCTTTCCTTTGCAGAGTAGGGGTGGGGGTGCAGGTAGATGGCAGGACTTGGGACTGTGAGAGGGCACAGGCCAGGCTGAGGGATCCCCCCCTGCACCCCCCCCTCCCAGTGCACAAATTGTCATGCACTGGGCCTCTCTAGTCAGTGTTTCCCAAACTTTTGACATATGTGTACCCCTTCTATAGTTTTCATAACGCTGAGTACCCCTCATACTCATGAGAACATAGAATTAGGCGCAGCTAAGCATGATGCAGTGCATACCCCCACCAAACTCCAGTGCAACGCCTACCCCCACCAAACTCTTCCCGTACCCCTGGGGGTACGCGTACCACAGTTTGGGAAACATTGGTTTATATTAATAAAAGAGAGATGCAAATTGACCATATATTCATGACATCTACCAGCCAATCAGGAGTGAGTATGCAAATCAATCCAACAACAGCAACAAAAAACTGGTGGGTTAATTTGAATACACAGCAGTGGAGCTAACAGGGGTGGGACACTTGCCATTGCGATGATGCAGGTGTTCCACACACACCCCGCAGCCACTCCAGGCCTTTGGGCAGTGTGGGGTGGAGGAAAAGCAGGCAAACAAGGTGCCGGCAGCCAGGGGAAGGAAGGCATCAGGCCTCTAGTAAGAACATAAAAAGGATAAAAGGGTTATAAGAAAATTAAGGGCTGGCTGGTATGAATTGCTCCACCAACTGTCTCTGGGAATGCATGCCTTCACCCCAAGGAGGCGTAGTTTATTCTACAGCTGCCCTGCTCACTGAAGAACAGGACAACTTTCCTGTGTGCTGGCTCAGTTTGCCATCCTCTTTGGCAGACCTGATGGCTCAAAGCGAATGAGGAAGTTATTGTTGGTGTGTGCTGTGTTACTGTTTTGCCCTCCCAAAGTTTGGGATCCCAAGAACAAACATCATCTTCTTACAGGCCACTGGCCTATGCAAGTGGGTATTTATTTGTAACTTTAGCCAGTATTATTAATCACCAAAGCATAAGCATTTATAGAATGAAACTAGAAATTCCATAAACTGAGTATACTGGCACTTTCCTGGTTTTATAAAATTTAAATTGTTAGTCTCACTTTAGAATGCTTTTTCTGATTAACTAATTAGATCAAAATAATAGAAACTGGACATTATAACCTGAGGTAGTTTTTTGAAGTTTATACTGCACTTTGACATACAACTCACTTAATCCTTCCAGACTCTGTGAGGTCAAGTTCTGTGAAACTTAGAGAGATTAAATAGCTTGTTCATGTAGCTGGTATGTAGCCAAACTGGTGCTCAAATCCGGTTCTCTTGATTGCAAATCTAGCTTTGTCTCAACTACAACATTATTCACAGTCATAGCATTTTAGAATTCAAAGGATCTTGAGAAATTTTCTGACCCAATCCTCCTTTTAAAAAAAATTAATTAAGATTTTAATAAATTAATCTAGGGACCCACAACTTGTCACTAAATCTTATATCATTTATCTTATTTCAGTGTCTTTTCCACTGAGCCATGGTCCTACCACCTATGGAGCTTGTAAAGAAAGGTTATAAAAAGCTAATGTTGCCCTAGCTTGTGGATAGAGTGTTGGCTTGGGGACTGATGCGTCCCAGGTTTGATTCCAGTCAAGGGCATATGATTCTCTCTCATCATTGATGTTTCTATTTCTCTTTCTCCCCCTTCCTCTCTGGAATCAATAAAAATATATTTTTTAAAAGCTAATGTTGCTGAGACCGGTTTGGCTCAATGGATAGAGCGTTGGCTTGGGAACTGAAGGATCCCAGGTTTGATTCCGGTCAAGGGCATGTACCTTGGTTGCGGGCATATCCCCAGTAGGGGGGTGTGCAAGAGGCAGCTGATCAATGACACTCTCTCATTGATGTTTCTAACCCTCTATCTCTCTCCCTTCCTCTCTGTACAAAATCAATAAAATATATTTAAAAAAAAAAAAAAAAGCTAATGTTATATTTGAAGTGAATGAGTTTTTGTTTCTCTAAAAATAATCTACTAATGGAATTACATCAAAATGAATATCTGTGTCTTCTGATCTGGTGCGCTGACAAAGAACTCATCACCTACCAAAAATGCCAAGAATGTTTACCCTGAATCTCATGAGCAAATAGTCAGACAAGTCCAATCATAGAACATTCTACAAAATAACTGCTCTGGATTCTTTAAAAATAAAAAAGTGTTAAAGAACAAAAATTCAATCAAGTAATTGAAGATCTGATTGGCTTTATTGTTTGATTACAAATCTGGCAGCATCCCATCTAGCACGTAGAGATGCGCTGAGAAACTGTGCAAATGGAAGGATTTTGTAGGCAGAAACAGGGTGAAACTAGAAAGCTATTAGCAGAAGGAAAGAAAGGATTGTTTCCAGAAGATTGCCTTCCCCAAAGGTGGCTTTATCAAACAGATTACCTCAGCTTCCTTGAGGGATATAAAGAGCCCATATGACATTACCTCATTGCCACTGAGCAGAAAATCCAGATTTACCAATTAAGATTACATTCCCAGAGAAGGTTGAAACTGCAATTAGGTCAGGTATCAAGCCTAAGTTTGCACTTTAGCATAAGTGACTCCATTTTGGACCTGGGTTTTGCAGACTTAAATCATTTTTCTTGGACAAATACCCATGAGTGTGAATGCTTTGTGAAAAACAAAAGTTTAATATCCCTAATATAAAAAGAGGGATATTAAATAGAGGAGAAAAAGTGGCATGTATATTTTATTTTTTAATAAACTGCCTAACTTTCCCAGTGTGGCTGTACCATTTTATATTCCCAGTAGCAATTTCTAAGCTATCTAGCTTTGCTACATTCTAACCAGCGGTTGGTATTGTCTATTTTTAAAATTTCAGCTGTCTTAACAGGCATGTTATGGTATCTCATCAAAAGTTGGGATTTGTTGTTGTTGTTAGTTTGTTTTTTTAGAGAGAGAAAGGGAGGGAAGGAGGAAGGGGAAAGAGAGAGAGAGAAAGAGAGAGAGAGTCATACATGTAAAAGAGAAACATGGGTCTACTGCTTCATCTACTGAGGATGTGCCCTGACAGGGAATTGAACCAACTGAGCCATTGAGCCATACTGGCCAGCTCAAAAAAAAATTTTTTTTAATGTCTTTTTATTGCTTTCAGGGAGGACGGGAGAGGGAGAAAGAGATAAAATCATTGATTGGCTTCCTCCTGCCCACCTTCTACTGGGATTGAGGCACAACCTGGGCACGTGCCCTGACCAGGAATCAAACTGGAAACCACCTGATCCATGGGTGGAGGCTCAACAACTGAATCACTCCAGCTGGGCAAGGATTTCTTAATCTATGTTTATAGGGCATTAATTTTTCTTTTTTTTTTTTTTAGATGTATTTTTATTTATTTTAGAGAGGAAGGGAAAGAGAGAGAGAGAGAACGAGAGAGAGAGAGAGAGAGAGAGAGAGAGAGAGAGAGAGAGAGAGAAGAACATCATGCCCCCTACTGGGGATCAAGCCCAAAACCCAGGCATGTGCCCTTGATCAGAATTGAACCTGACACCCGTCAGTCTGCTGACCATCGCTCTATCCACTGAGCCAAATGGGTTAGGGCTAATTTTTCTTTATTTGTAATATTTTTATCTGATTTTTTTGTCAGAGTAATGCTGCCCCAAGAAAAGGATTTGGGAAGTGCAGCTGCCTCCTGCACACCCCCTTCTGGGGTGTGCCCGCAACCAAGGCACAGGCCCAACTGGGACCGAACCCCGGACCCTTCAGTCCGCAGGCCGATGCTCTACCCACTGAGCCAAATCGTCAGGGCTATAAAAATATATTTTAAAAAATAAGTAAATATAATAAAATACTTCACTTTAAAGTGGCACTTGTAGCAAGGGATTGATGAATACT